TTTCAAAACCATATTAAAATCTCTTTCAACCTGTTAGGTTATTGATAGCTGCTAACACTTTTTAAAAATTATGGTTGCTCCACAACAGCTAGAAAACTCTCTTCAAAGTATGCCTGTTTTCCTAATTTTCTATTAATGGAAATGAATACAAAACCTTCTGCAGGGTTTCTTGCACCCACTAAGGAAGCAGCAAGCATGGATTCCTTGTGCTGTGAGGCAAAGGGGTTACTTAAATTGATACCTGTTTCTTAGCTGAGGTTTGTGAGGAAAGTCTGCAAAAGAGTGTTTTGAAATGTCTAGATACTTTTATTTGCCTCTGATGTGTTCAGTCATGTATTTCCCTGAAATGCATTAGCTTAAGGAAGCACACTGCAAATGCAGTAAATCAGCCATAATGTTAAATTCATTTGTAACAGTCCCATGTTGAGGAACATGTTCACGAAACATCGCTCTGTGCCATGTAATGTCCAGGTGACATGAAAGTTATAGAACTAGGTTTAATAATACATAGGATTTCCGTGGTATTTTCCACAATTTTCCATTGTGAATCTTGAAATTAAGACCAAACTCCCCTCTCTGATATACCCATACCAATCTATTAACTTCCATGTGAAAACTCATTCAGTGCTGTAACCAAAAGGAGACATTGGCTTCATTGGGAACCTGAAGTCAGGATATTGCCCTGTGGCACAGCGTGTTACTCTCCAGGAAGCTGGAGCACTAGTCAGCATCTTTCTCAGATTGAAAAATATGTAAAGCGATGGTAGCTTTTAAATGTGTGAACTGACCCTATTCAATTTGGTAAGTACACAAAGGTACAAATGGTTTCTGTAATCTCACTGTTCAAAATATGGGTAGAAACACTGAGGCCGAGTGCTAATTTAGTCTGAAAAGGTGAATATTAGAACTGTAGCAGTCCAGTCACAAGGAGTGCCCTGAGCCATCCTCTTGATACTCTGTTATTTCCTACAGTAAACTTGATTATATTACAGCAACCCTTTGTAAAGACACCATTGCTCCTTTTCACCGTGTTGCACAGAAGGATGCTGGTCAACCAAAATACATTTCATATTGAGAAACATCTGGGGGTGTTAACCAATCTATTTATCTTTTCTTTATGTATTTCTTAATTGTGTGATGCTCAGACAAAACTTGCTATTAGGAAAGAACAGGATGAAGCCAAGCATCTGTTGGGCAGGGGCTGACAGTCACAGTAAATGGTGGTAGAATAGAGCCTGTCCCTTTCTTCCCCTTTCCCTTTGTCCCCCTTGGTGCACAGTGTATTAGGTTTTAATCAGTGACTGCAGTTTATGTCAATAACTTGGTTGTGCTGGTCTGGTCACAAACAACTGTGATTGTCACTTTCTGCTGTCAGGCTTGTGAGAACGAGGTTCAGAGGTAATTTAATACACGGATCAGCTTGGCTTTTGTCCCAGCAAAATAATGGAATTCACCATTTCTTTCTCATGAAAACCAATGAGGATTGGTTTTTGTCTGCACTTTTTTTGGAGGTTACTGCTGTTATTTAAACTGGCTCAATGAAAGTATAATACTTCAGAAATTAGACACGGCAGCATTAATTAAGTGGGAAAGATCTGGTTTTGCCATGCATTTCTGTATTTTAGAGCATAACTAAAGAATTTTTGGGGCATAGTTTTCAGGGATAACTTTTCCTATCGACCAATATAATAGAGTCATCACAACAGCTGCAAGGGATTGGTTACACTGCTGGAATTCAGCTGGGTGTACACAGGTTTTTTCAATGCATGCTTTTCGAAACAAAACAGTTTGATAGCAGGTGTGACCTTTAACCCTCCCTAACTTTGAAGAACTTAATCATCATCATTTGTTCAGCACTGAATATATTTTGCAGGTGGAGGAAACAGAGGGAAATGTAGTTTGGTTTTGATGGGAAAGGGGGAGGATGAGGAGTGGTTGTGTTGGTATTTTTCCTCCTTTTGTGTAAACCAAATTAGGCAAAGTTAATTTTTTAAAGTTCTGTCTACAATGAATTTTACATTCTATTTAGAAAATCTGTTTTGTCAGATCTCAGTTACAGAGATGTAATTGAAAGACAGAGTAAAGCTTAAAAAGAGAGATTTAAAATATGCCTATCTACTAAGAATTTGCATGTGGAAAGGGCTGGGATGAGCGAATATACAAGATGTATAGTGTAGAGAGAATATACAAGAAGATACATTGAGAAGGTGGCAGCATCATCCCTGGAGTGTTATCAATTACACGTTGGTCCTTTCCAACAACTTTGTCTTGCCAGCTTTGTGGGGACCTCAGATGAGGTTCTGTACCTCGCTGTCTGAGCAAAGCCTTGAGCTAGGGGGCATTGCACAGTGATGTGGTCATGGCTGTCTGGATGAATCAGCTAACCCTTACAGAGCCATGGGGATCACAGTGACGATCATACAGGGGTATAATGATGTGGGTAACAGCGCTGCAGCCCCTGTGTAGAAGAAAACATTGTCTCTGTGGGAGTTAATTCTCAGCTAGAGCACCTGCTTGTTTGTTCAACCTTGTAAGATTAACTTCATTTTAAAAGCGAGCACTAAAACTGACAAAGTCCAAGGATACAGAAGGCAGTTCTATCTGCTAATGTAAGTGGGAATTGTCACAGAAACCCTCATACAAGTCAGCATAATTACAAAGCTTGTACTAGCTGTTGTCCTTGGATGGCTGTTGCATGTGCCACGTTGTTGTCTGGTGGTTGTTGCTCGTGGCAGGGCCCCTTATGACACAGATGAAAACGGGACTCACTGTCACAAGTGACTGAGTATATATGGAAATTCAAATTTACAAATAAAAGCTGGAAATTCATGTTTGATGACAGTAAATATGTCTGTTCACGTTCCTCTCTCATCTGTAAACCCAAGAGTCTGTGCTGCAGTTACAAAAATCTGTTATACCCAACTCTGTAGCTTTGTCCCTTTCCAATGGAGGTGCAGAGGCACATTCAGTTTGTGCTCTGCATTGGTGCTGAATTACTGCATGAAAGGGCTTGTCTGTTCAAACTTTTCTCTTCGTACAGAGTCCTGTTACTGCTAACTTTAGATTCAAGTTTAGTGAGTTCTGACTTCAGTAACTAGTTTATTATGGTCCAGTGTAGCCTTAGCTGAGAAAAGTTGGTTATGTAGTTGAGGCTGTAGATCAGATGGCAAACAGTCCCTTGAACCTGCCACAACTTCTTTTCAGGCTCAGGCAACCTACTGTTGCAAAGTCGTTTCAGAACTTTGTTTGTTTGGGTTTCTGTACATTTTGGCTGCTGCTGAGTCTGTTGTTCTTGTAGTGGTACCAGAAGTTTTTAGCATCACGTGAGAAATTGGGTATGTTCAGTACCTCTGAAGGTCATATTTGTGCATCTTAGACTGGCAGTCTGAGGATTGGTGACACTTCATAAATTTAATCTTCACTTTTGTGGCTGGATTTAACAGAGGATCTTTGTCTATACCTTTCCTTAATCCTTGAGTTACTGCAACTGCAGATTGGTTATTCTGTTTTTCTCCTCCTTTTCTCCAGCTTCCACATGGCTGCGAGGAGCAACTCTTACTACTGTGTAGTACCTACAGGCATGTCCCAGTTAACAGCTGCACTGGGTTGGAGCATTTCCAAACAACAGTGATTCCAAATTACAGCTGATAGAAATTTGCTTTTATAGAATTCTTATTTTGTACAGCAGTTGTCAATTACATTTTCATCACACTTTTCCTGTCCTGTTAGCAGTGCTTTGAATCTGTGTCTGAAGTGGCCTGTTGCTACATAAAGAGCTGATTTGCATTGGATTGTACCTTTTGTTTGGTGTAACAGCACTGTGTTTCATAGGTTCAGATTTCTGTGGATTATTACCTTACAGTGGCTCAGAGTTAGAGATAGATACAGTCTGAGCAGTCTTCACACCTGATGTGAGCATGGTTGCAGCTACCTTGAGATGCCAGCGTTTTCATTCCCCTGGACGAGGATTTCAACCCATTGTGTTGAATCTTGTGCTCTGATGGACAGCAAATTTCTTTTCTGTGTAGTAAATTAAGCTTTTCTGAAAATCTCTGAGGAGCCTGAAGTTTGAATGTTGTTCTGGTGGTGTGAAAATGTACAGATGTATGCTTTCAGCAACCGCAGTGTAAAATTACTAAGGGATCTGTTTTATGCATGTAGCTGTTTCTTTATTCATTGATTTCTGTGCTTCTTTTAAAGAAGTAATATTAAATATGTCTTTGGTGGTGAGACAAGTCCATAACTTAACTGAAGGCATAGTATGGTTACATCTTTGGAGTGATCATGTGTTGCACTCATAGACAGGAACTTCTTGAAAGGACTTGCAAATTTTTCATGGAAGTCTTTTATTTTAAGTGAAATGTGTGTGAAACTTACTGATCCAATAGCTAACAAAATGAAGTGCTCACTGAACTGATAGATAATAATTTTCACTTGGGTTTGCTATCTCCTTATCAAAAATAATATTAGATTCTTAAGAAATAAGAAAAACTTGCATAAAAATTATTTTAGAGAGATACTCTGTCATTCTATTTCCTGTATTATGGCAAAACAGAATTTATGGATAATTTTTCATAATGGAATTGCAAAGGTCAATTAATGAGGTTTGTGGATTGCAAAGTCAAAGCATAGTGTTGTGGTTGTCTGCTCCCATCATGTGCAAACTTTGTCATGATTTTCAATTGTACTGAATTTTTAGCATGTTACTTTATTTGGTCTCTTGTTGAAAACTGCAAAAGCCTCTGGAATAGTAATCCCAAAAATCAGCTGCATAAAATTCCGCTTTAGAAAACCCAGCTGTCTGTAGTAGTAATTATTCTCTGAATTACTTGTTTGCAAAGACTCAATTGAATATGATTGTGGGCCTTTCAAAATAATTCATATTCCAAAATATCTGATATTCATAATTTATTTGCTTATCCATGTATAGGAAGAATTAAATTGGTAGGTGCATGCATATTTCATCTTTTTTCAATGACTCTCTTTTTTCCTCCTTCTAGGCCTGCCAGACCGTTCAAGTTACCAAAAAGGTAAGGTCCAATGCTGTCACATGTGAGGGTTGCAGAATGTTATTCCCTGCACAGTGCAAGAATAAGGAATATTCAAGGAAAATAGTAAACAAGCAAATTTAAACAAATTTTAAAAGCAAAAGGTACTTCTTTATGCAGTGGGTAGGGAATTTCTGAAACTGCCACAGGAGGTCGTGGAGGCAGATAGCAAGGTCAAAGAATGTTTATGAGAATTCATCTACAATGGGTCCCTAAATAAACACTGAAATAAAGAGGTTGGGACAAGTTCTTTAACTTCCCTAATTGTAACACATCTGTGAATTCTGAGGGAGCAGGAAGAGGATAGAATGCAGAAGGTGGCCAAACTCAGGTGCTCTATTTATGGAGAGACAAGCAGTCTCTTCATTAGTACTAGGCCAGAATTTAAAAACCCGTGCAGATTTCAATGCTTCTTGTTTTCATCTCTTTAATGGCATTTTTTTCCAGTCTGCACCATTCTCTTTGTGTGTATGTACACAAGCATGAAAACTCCATGCCTCAGTACTTTTTTGATTAAGGGCTACTCTGAGAAGTGGCTTAGCTGTATCATCAATAATGATAAATCAACCTGACAGACAAGGTCAGAAAATTTCATCATAATAGTTTTTTCTTCTTCTAAAACCAGAAGCCCCATGCAATCAAGAGCACTAGGTTTGGATTGTATACACTCTGAAGAATGGCAGGGTCAGAGAAAATAACAGAGCAACGCATCTAAAGCTGTCAACGCAACAGTCATGGCAACAAGGAACCATCTCAAGTGAAAAAATATTAAAAACATAATCCATCTTTAAGATTTGCCTTCAGTAAAGAACAGAGCTGTTTGTTAAGTACCTGGTTTGGGTTACATAAATCTGTGTGTTGCTGTGAATTCAGTCACGCAGTGACCATTTTACAGTACAGACACTATATGTGGTGCATTTCTGTGTAGTGGTGGTGGGTAGTGGTTTAAGTTGAGTACATCTGCATACAGGTGCTGATTTGAAAAGTTTAACATCAGCCACGCATTAGTCTGCAGCTTAAAATGGGAAGGAAAACTAAACAATGTCTTTTGTGTCTTCTCCTTCTGAAGAAACTATCTGAGGTCTTGGATCACCTTAGGGCAAATAGCTTGAAACCAGCGGTGCTTTTAGTGGTGCTAAATAGCTGAGATAAATACCGATTGAATTACTGTATCTCCGAAGCATTTTGAGTTATTTAAAACATGAAGAAAAAAACAAACCAAACCTTTTCTAAGTGTGTGAAAAACGTCAGGAGGAAATAAATTAATGAAAGCTATATGTATTTTAATGGGACATAGCTAGCTGAAAGTAGTAGTACCATTCTAACAACTAGACTGAAAGCAGGGGCCAAGTGGCTGAAAGAATGATCTTTCAGTCAGTGTCAGACTTAAGCGAATTCATCAGTCAGTGCTTGAATAGTTTGGAGGGGAAAAAAAAAGAGGAGGATAAGTTATCAGTGTGGCTACATGTCCACGTCACTGCACAACCAAAAAATAGTTTTAATTAGGCATCAAAAAGCAGGAGGTGTTACCTTGATTTAGAAAAGTACTAAAGGATGTGCTTAGCACTAAGGATATCCTTTCTGAATGTGATTCCTCGATTGAGGAATTGATGTCATCATTTTCCTCTTGGACTCCGTGGGGCGTTATCAGGTCGTTTATGCAGAATCAGGGCAGTGGCTTACTTCTCCTGGAGAAAAGAAAAAGTAATTAAGCTCTTTTTATGGCTTTTTAGTGGGTGAAAAATAACTGCCATCTGTTCAGCCAGGTACAGTGGTTTGGGGTTGAGGCTCATTATAGGCAACTTGCTTGATGCCAGAGCCCTGAGCAGCACCAAATAATGCTCAGACAGGTAAAATTTAGTCTGGCTAATCCTTTTTGTCAGCTCAGGTCAGCTTTGCTTATCTGAATTTCAGTATGTGATACAAGAAATAGGACAAATTTGCGGGTGTAAACAAGCACTTACTGTTTCCAGTATGTGGCTTATTATCACGTTAAACACTTTACTTAGGACATAGTTTCCTTTACACCTAGTGACTGAAAGAATTTAACCAAATTAAGAGCTGCTCAGCTGAGAATGGACATGTAGAGACAACATGTCAAAGTGTGATGAATAGGAACTGGCACTAGTGATGAATAGGAAAATAAATCTTTTGGGTATAACTTTTATGACTTCAGAGCAAATGTCTGACTAGCAGTGTAATAGCTAGTCAGTCTAGCTTGGTGTTTATGAAAACATTTAGTCCTATAAATAGGAAAACTCTATTAGGTCATTTACTTCCCTTCACTTCTACTTTGTACAATTGCTCATTTGGCAAGCTGCCCCTTTGTGATTCACTTTAATAAAAACTTAAACTTCAGATTGTTTTTCAAGCCTTTACTAATTAACCTCTCGTGTGAGAATGTAAGAATTATTTCATGTTTACCTAATAGGAAATTGAGATACACCCAGTGCTTTGGACTTCCTTTCTCCTTAAAGGTGCACTTAGACCCCTATATGTGCCTATTTTCACATGCTATGGAAAGTCAGCCATAAACTTCCTCACTGCTGTTGATTTTACAGTTAGAATGCTGGGAAAGCATTGCTGGAGTGAAGAGATGGCCATTCCCTCCCTTCTTAGCAGCAGGACAGAAAAATTCTGTAGAGCTGGTAATTGTATTGTGATTAGCTAATAAGTTGCTCTTAAAACTGAAGAAGAGCCATGATCTTTTGAGACAGTAGAAATAACTAAAGGATAAGTAAAGCTATAAACTTTCATGTTACACTGCTTGTAAGGTGAGGAGGAAGTAACAGTGTAGATCTTCTTGATCAATATTTAGTGTGTACAGAGACCATCCGTATAGAATGATTCATCGCCTGTAATTATTTTTCTAATGTCTTTTAAACTTTATGGGACTTCCTCTAATCTCTTCACTTCAGACAGTGTTGCTTTTGAAACATAAACTCTATGAATTAAAGTCTTTACTGTAAGAAAAATTATTTAGAAATTAAGATTTCTGGGTTTCACTCGGTTTCTGATACTCTTCTGTCAATTTAACAAAAATAAAAATATTTTACAAAGTCAATGAAAGTTGGGTTTGCATATAAAAATCCTTGCACTCTTAAAATTTAGAATGAACTAGGTGTTAAAATGCAAGGATGTATGTTATGCTACAAGACTAGGTAGTTAATGTTGATTAGTTTATGTATCATGTTGACACTCCCTCGCATCTTTGAATTTACAGCAGATTTCATGGATCATTAGTGTGTAGGGTTTGAGTATTTTTTTAATGACTGTTGTAAAAATAGGGGATATGTTTTCTTTTGGGTTCTGCTTTAAAAGTGAGGGTTTTTCTCTCTTTGTTTTCTTTAAAATGCTTAAGTTTTCAAAAAATAAATAGTGATTTCTTTCTATCATTAAATTTTTAACTAAGTATCTAGTTTTAGTGGTCCCCAATCATGGATGATATCTATGCCAAACATTAAGTATAAAGTTAAGGAAAAAGTATTTATATTTAAAAAATTGTATTTGATCTTAAGCGACAGTTTTCAATTCACATATTCTTTTTTTTGCATATTTTTCTGTAAAAATATTTTCTGTGAATTATTGCTATGACAGTTTTAAATGCTGAACATGTAGTAAGCAACAGAAATATCTATTTCAGTCCATAGTAAATCATCTTTGTAGCAGCACAAAGAAGATCTAAGATAAAGCCTGCATTTTTGTCAGAATCCTGAGGGGAAAAAAAACAGTCTGACATGAAAAGCTTTCTGTATAAGAATAGAAAGTTTTAGGGAGATTTGAGAGAAAGTTGGAGGGGGGTTCTTACCATAAAAAAAGGAGAAAACCCCCAACAAATGTGTGGAAAAAATTTTTCCGAATGGCTTCTGTCCATTTGTGATAGGCAGCTTAATTTCCTGTAAGAGTAACAAAGAACACGGGTCAGTGTTCTTTGGTCAGCTCTTTGGAGAAGTGTGGATTAATTTTTCTGTGTAACTTTCATTTCTGTAACGTCTCTCTCTGCCCCTCTCCCATAGCTATGCCGCGCTAATCGCCGACTGGCCTGTGGTGGTCCTGGGCATGTGCACTGTGTTAATTGTGGTGTGTGCCCTGGTTGGAATATTAGTTCCAGATCTTCCAGATTTCTCTGATCCACTGCTTGTAAGTAAATATTAATCAATAAGTGTTTTCTGTTTGCTGTTTCTTCAGTGACGCCAGGAAACAGCAATTGGTAGATTCCTCATGAGTTGAGATCTGCCCAGAGAGGAAAACTGAGTCTTAGTATGCCTGAAAAGATTTCCTGTACTGTCAATCTGTTTGGGAAACTATTTCCAGAGAGACTCAACTGGTAGTAAGCTTGCAGAAGCAGTTTCTGTCTAACGAATCCACGAAAAAAAATTAGTTGTTAAAGACCCTTGCAATTCCTCTAATTAAAAAAGAAAAAAGTATGAAATCTTCACATTGGAGCAGCAAACGGTGATACAAAGCAACAGTGGCTATTGGAGAATGTTATCCACTAGTTTAAATTCTCTCTTCATTTTGCTATTGAGAAGTCATATGTCCTCTAGCAGAACTGCTTAGATTGATAATGTAAATTCATCCCAGTTTTAGATGTACAGCACAGTACAACAGACCATACGTTCTAAATCAGGTTTCAAAGACTGAGGGCCAGTATTAAAGGGAAGGGGGTTCCAAGTGCCTTCTGGGGATGAAATGATCTCCATATTGGAAAACTAAAAGTAATCTTTTTCAGATTCTGTTAAATACTGTGCTCAATTCTTACTTTTCTTGAACTGTCTTACACAGGAGTAACTTTCAGGACTTCTTATTGAAAATACTGCATTTAATTATTATCCTTAAATAAAAATATACTGTTTCTATAAGTTATTGTTATTTCTAGTATAGTATGTGTATATGTACATATTCATATGTAATGGATATTTCTTGAAAACAGTCAAGTTGTTAAAATTGTTTCAATGTCACTTTCAAAATTATGTAAAGCTCTTAAGTATATCTACTCTATTGCTCTTAGAGGAATAGAGTAGGTATACTTTGGAGTTTTTTAATCATATTTAATCAATAAAGAGTGATAAATGAGATAATGTAGAGGACTTTGTAGAATGCCCTTACTCTGAAAACTAGGTGTTGAACATTTGGTAGACTAAATCATCTCTTCTCAGGGAGAGGAGTAGTACATGCAAGAATTCTTAATCCCTCGTCACTCTGTACAGTTGGTCATTATTTTGTCTGACCTGTCATAAAGCATTTTACCTTTAGAAGTAGATGCCTGGAGTAATTATGCTTCATAATGAAAACTATCCATCACTTTGATCGTGTTTCCGCTTTCCCATTTGAGCTAAAGAATGAAAGCTCTTAATGGAATTTTGTGATTTTCTCCTCTTAGGGTTTTGAACCAAGGGGGACAGCCATAGGACAGAGGCTGGTCACGTGGAATAATATGGTGAAAAACACAGGGTATAAAGCAACACTTGCAAACTATCCTTTCAAATATGCAGATGAGCAAGCTAAAAGGTAGGAATTTGTATTTTAAATGTATTTTATTTTACTGGTGTCTTTTCTATGTATGTAGTGCTTGCATTGGCACCCTCTGAAGTTAAATGTATGTACTTCCACTGATTTCAATAAATATTGAATCTGATCATCTGCAATTCTCAAGGCCTTTCATATAAGGCTAGATGTTTCCCATCTCAAACTCTTAAAGGTGTTTAATTTTAGTTTTCTCTTAGAGTTAGGGATATTTTCAAAACTAGACTCAATGTCATTTCCTTCAAAGTCTGTTAATTTAAAGAAAAAATTAATTTATGTCAGTTTTTGTATACCAGAGGCACATTGGTAAAAATGTGTTTTATCATATATAAGAGCTGTTAAGGTGTGTGATGTGTTTGGATGCTCCTCTTTTAGCAAGTTCTTTGCTAAGTTAAGGTAAAATTATTTATTCTGGTTTAGTCATCAAGATGACAGATGGTCAGATGATCACTATGAAAGAGAGAAGAGGCAAGCAGACTGGAACTTCCACAAGGATACCTTTTTCTGTGATATTCCAAGTAAGTGAAGAAATGGTGTAAGGAAGGCTAAAGACTTCTGTCAGTTGTATGTTTTTGAACACTTCTATACATTGCATGCCACATAGGAAAGTATTTTTTGCTTAGCAGGCATATGGGCTCAATAAGCACCTTCTTTCTGTGTGCAGAAGTCTTGAGAAAATTCAGCTGAAATGTTGTGTTCTATTGGTTCTTCCTGGGAAGCAACTGTATTTACTTAAAGTGCTTCCTTTAAGTGTTTCCGTTTCCTGTAAAGAATTTTATTAGTTCTTTGTGTTACTGATCATTGTAAAAGCAGTGCTTTGTGTGTGACTATGGAGGTAGAGCTTAATTCACTGTAGGGAAGAAGTTGTGTTCTATCTGTGCCATTAGCTTAGTTCTAAAAAACCTAAATCAAAATATTTTTCCTGTATATGTCTGAAAAGACATCCACTGGTCATCTTGGACAGAAGTTAGGGGTTTGTTTAGGGTAAAAGAAATGCACACACAAAAAACCCTCAAAGAAACAAAAATAAAATAAAAACACTGGGGACTTATGAAGTTGACCAAGTTAAACTAGAGGACAAAAAAAGACAAGGAAGTCTATTGACCTTTTACAGGGCATACTGCAGAACTTTGATAAGTCCTGTTCTGGCAGAGAGCGTGCATTAGCAGATGTAGATCTTGACTTTATTCATATAACGACTCGCTCTCTTTTACAGCAACTTCCATATGTGAGGACTGATAACAGAGCACAAAAACATAATTGTGAAGTTATTTGTTTATATTACTTGATCTAAGAGAGGGATGACCAGTGAATACTGGGGTGAAGAACAGATTTTCTTTTTTCTATTACAGTACGGTCTTATATCTAAGTGAGAGGATGTGAGCAAGGTCGTCATTTCTGCTCATGTGAGCAGAACCGAATTAGACTGAGCATATCATGAGTAAGGAAGAGGAAATGTACTCGAAACTCTGCTGAGCATTAACTGCAACTTGAAAGAGAATTAACTCCTCTTATCCTGCGTGCTGTTTCTGCACAGTCTCACTCTCATTCTTTCCACTGCTGTTTCTGTGTAGTCTCAATCGTGGCAGTCATGAAGGAATTGCACTTCTATGGGAAAATTTGCCAGTCCGTTATGTAAAGAAAACAGTTGATTTCCTCTTGACCCGTTGTTGTCATTCCTGGTGTCTTTCTTTGTCTGCTCCATGATCTGCAGATTTCAGTTCCCTTGATCCTAAAGCATGGTCTGACATCATAAAACCCTACCCCCAAGTCTTTTCATTAGAGTCTTGTGGAAGACAAAAATTCTGCAGATTCACAACAGTGGGGAAAATTCAGCCTTTTGATTTTCTGGAATATTTTAATTAATGTGATAATGTTTCTTAACACAGAGTACCATACTGTGTTGTGCAGTACCGTATATTTCTGTTTGTATCTGTTTCCCTTGTGAGCTATGCATTCAGATCTCACTGCCACTAAGTAATTATTTCCTTTCCTAAAAGCTGTCTTCTGATAAATGCAATTTAATTTGTAATTTAAGCTCTATGTGTCTAAACTGTGGAATTCTTAAAAATGGCCTCAAGGATATCACAACAATTTCCACTCCAGTCATTTGCTTCTAAAGCAAAAACATTCTTGTAGAAACAGCTTTATAATTATTATTTATATTCTCAAATGACTTACTAAATCAGCCTTTGATGACTATTATCAGCGTTCTGCCATTATGCTGTGCCAAGAATTTCGTAGTTTGCTGATTAGATCTTTTGATTTTTATTTGTTTGTCATATTTGAGAAGATAGTTTGCTTAAACAGAAGTCTGTAGAGCTTCTGAGTGGTATAAAGATGCCATATTTACTATAAGCACTTTAAGGAAATGGAAACTTTCATGTGGAGCAAGTCTTACAGATAAACAGCTCATCTTGAAAAGGAGGTGAATTCCCATGACCTGACAAAGATTTCATCTGTGTCATTTGAACAGTGGGATTTTGCTTTAGGCTTTGATATCAGGCACACCCAAACAATCAATAAAACCCCCCTCTTGTGATTTCAGGTGATCGCTATTCACGAGTGGTGTTTACATCAACAGAAGGAGAGAATTTGTGGAATTTGAATGCAATTAAGTCAATGTGCAATGTAGATAACTTGAGGGTAAGTAAATATGGCATTTAATTTGTTAAACTTGCAGATATGGAGTATGTATTTGAAATTTTCTTTTGCTGCCCATCACCATCCGGTAGCATATGAGAGGACTTCACATTGTTCCCATCATGTCAAACGGTCAGTCAGCATGCAGGCAAAGTTAAAAAACAATTTGCAATTTGTAAATCAGATTATGTATGAAGATTTCTTTGGTTTTGCTACTAATAACATCCAGAATGGGGTAGAGGAGGGTTGCTTCAGGAGTGTTTTTTTGCAGAAAGGACTGTCTTTATATTCACTGTGTGTTTCCTCATAGAATAAAATTCCATGGAATTTTGTTCTCGTTTCCCAGCAAAGAATTCATTTTCCTTGCTTTTTCACCTTGAGGTGAACTAGATGCACCCTCATCGCACGTGCAGTTTTCTCTGACACCCGGTGGGGTCACTCAGGTTTTTTTTCTGTTAGTTTAGAATGGAGATCAAGTGGGCATCAACAGAACATAGATACAGTAGCTAGAAATATAGCCCACTTAATTAGATGTGGATAATGGTGCCTACAGAGTAATATCTTAGTTTTCTCTTTAGAACCGAGGAAATGAAAGGTGATGTTTTGTCATGGTCTGTCTGGCCTGGTGTATTTTTACTTGACTTTCATTCTACTTGGTACCTTGCATAGTCAAAATAACCTTTGGAATAACCATGTTCAGAGGCTTCTTTTACATGTGTTACGAAGGTAATGTAGCACTCTGATTGAAGTCGATGTCCGTTTTTGACTGAAGGAAGTTAACTGACAAAGGCTAAAATAAAATAAACATCCCAATAGTACATTTGTAAAATATAAGCTTGTCACTTGCTGGAGTAAACTCCTTTAACCTCTGAATAGCCATGAACTTTTGTATCGGTGAATTTGCACGGAAATAAAGCAATATGGTTTTCTCCTGTTAATATTGATCTATTTATTTCCATTTTTTCTCCTGCAGAACAAAACTGACCATAAACAAATTCAGATTATACCACGTTTATTTAATGAGGATGTTGCCTTTTAGACAATTCTGTTAATTTATCAAATTTCCAAATTTTTTTTTCCCACAACAGCTGTCGTTTACTTTGTTAAAATGTTGAGCTGTAGCAAAACATTGTATAATGAATCTCCCTTGCACTCTGCAGACAGGCATTTTGTCCTGGTTGGCCTCCCTTGGTGGCAGTCGTTTTTGTCCTCATGTGCTCGTGAGGTGTTCCTTATTTCCCCATCAAAGATTATTGCACTGACAGGATGGCTCATGTGGTTGTCCTTTCTCTCTTTTGATCAGAATGAGCCAGGTGAGAGCAAAGTATGGTATTTAAACTAACCCAGATCAATTTTGCATGAACTGAACTGGGGAGTAATCATACTGCCAGTTCAATCGGGAGATTCAGTGGAGTAATTTACAAGGGTAAAAATTGAGAGTTAAGGAGGAAATTCTAATCTACATGTTTAAGTGTTGAAGCTTAGTAACACAGGCAGCTGATGCAGGTAAATCGCAGGTAGTATAGGTCATTGCAAAGCAATGCAGTCTGAATTAAAAAAACCCATAATAATTCTATTTAACAGAAGACAGTTAATTACATCTGAAGAATAATCTCTGTCATGATTGCGTTACTCTTGAGGAATTTTTCTTTGGTTCCTCCCTATATGCACATTTTGATAATAATGTATTATTTCAAACACTGCTTTGCTTTCTGAGGGAAGGATGAAACTACTTTACTTCAAAAGAAAGCACCACACATCTTATAGCCATAAAACCAGCTCTTCCTTTGAAATAAGAACACTTCAGAAAACTAAATGTTGGCAATTTCAGCTACACCCACAGTTGTGTAGATATTTATAGAGGAAATTGTTGCAAATAATGTTTCTGTGGATCTTTATTTGTAATTTACTTGTAATTTACTTCAGAATGTAGTAATTGAATACCGCAGCTGAACAGAATAATAGTGTATCATGATAGCAGAATTGATTTTTAGCTAGTTAGTATATAAAACAGAGTGATATGGTTAGGTTTTGCAATTATTATTGGTCTGTGTATGCAAATTTATAATAAAAATTAGATATTCAGGGCTCAGAAAGGGCTGAGGCTTTTTTCATTATTTCTTTTTTAAATGCTTGTTACTTAAAAATAACATTTTTTAATTATTTTAACACTTTCTAAAAGTTTTCAAGGACTTTTAACACTTCTTAGAACTCACAAAGTGCTGTGCTATGCCCCACTTGTGAATACTGAGTTCTGGTAGCAGCCAGTCCCTAGGGAGGATGCTGATTTGCACTGCAGTGATCGGAAGAAATCTATGACTCCGGTGACCTTCTGGTCTTACAAACTCTTTCCTGACTGGAGTTATTTTTGCTGTTGAATTCAAGCTTGTTTAGAGCCACAATTCCGTTGAACTAAGTGGCAAAGCTTTCTGTACCCAAAGATGGGAAAATCACACTATTTTCTGCAAATCCAGACCTTAAAATTTGTATGTTTTTCTGATGATAAGCAGGATTTCAGCACCAAGTATTTGCTTTAGTATGGAACCAACAGTATATCCTTATGTGTTAATTGTATTCCCATCTGCTTGTAACTATTTTGACTATATGTTTTACTGACACCTAGGTGCTCCATCCTGCAGCTGCTCAGCATATGGTAGTTCCTATAATCTTCATGGAAACTCTATTTACAAAATAGTTATAGGAGGTGCTCTAACTTTTTACTAGTTGGATAAGAAGAGCCTTTTTTGGTTTTTTTCACCTGTTAATTGCAGAATGTTTTCCCATTAATCCATAAACTGTTATTTTAATAAGCTTCAAAGACTGTGTTATCTCTTCAGACTGCTTCCCCAAAACTGTGTATTGGGGAAATGTCTGTTACTGCGGAGATCCATTTGGGCAGATCTGCCCACAGATGCAGCATGTGTGCAGGTTGCACTGCTTAGTTTCTTTACTTGTTCCAAAATAAATTGTGATGTTGCCAGTGGCAGACCAGGTCTGGCAACAGCAAAATGGCCTTTTCAGTTCTTTTGGATCACCAACAAAGCTCAATGCTACAATCTATTAACATTTTACATAATATTTTAATGAGCCACCAGGAGCTAAATTTTGTGTTTTAATTTCTAATTTCCAGCTGCCAGCTCATGTTACTTTATCTTTGGCAGCAGTTCCTTTAACAGTGAATGTTTATGACCTGCAGCGAGTGTTGAAGAACAGTATATAAACCTCATTGTCCCATCTTGAACTTGAATACGTAGAGAAGACAATACAATCCTTTCCTCCCAATTTGCCTATTATATCCTCGTAGGACTAACCTGGAGATGTGCCATGAAAAACACAGATATGCTATTCCAGTGCTTCCTTTTATTTAGTAGGTTGTTCAGTTTTTCCTGAGTTTGCATGTGTGAGTGTTTTTATCTGGAAACAATCAAATGTGAATTATCCTGTTTTTTGGGAATGCCAGTTTGTTATTGTTCAACAACTGGTTGACAAAATTTAGTCCATATTAAAGCTTTTATAACTGCCATGAGAAGCCCCAAGTGCATTTTTTTTGGTCTGCATTATAAAAGATTGCTAATAATAAACCTGTGCAATTTTGCAAAAGAAAAAAAGAAGGAAAAAAAAAAAGAGAACTATGTGGTTTACTTCAGTTCACCTAAACTTAAAGCATGCATAAATAATGTTTCAGGGCCCAATTCTGTAAACTGAAGTGCATGGCTGTACTAACATGATTGTATTAATAGGTGTTCATTCTGTGTAACTTGATGAAGGCTGAACTTTTACATGTGTCTATATACATATTAGTCTATATAAGGACTAATTCTACTTCATCACATATAACAGACTGAAAGTTCTGGTTTTTAAGACTTAAGTTCCTTTTGCCCTACCAAGATCGAGTTTTTTCAGCTTGAGGAAATTTCCCTTATCTAACCTTGCTACTTGAGAGTTTCACTTCTGTTTTATTGATTCAGTTTTTCATAGAAGTGCCTCATGGTGATTTAGCTAAGTCATGCTTTTACTGACTTCAGCTATGTCTGGAATATTCTTGAAGCGGAAGAAGAATATCCCTATAAGGGATTAACACTCGTTCAGTTCAGGAGAGTCCTTAACCAAGATGTTAAAATTACTGTCATCTCTGTAAAGCTCTGGTAGGAGTTCCTGACCCTTGTGCAGTCACTTGAGTTGACACCAGCAGTCCTCCCCCATGTCCCAGCTCTCCCTCTCTGCACTTGCCACTGGTGTCTGCTTGTTCCCATGACTTCTCTGGCCTTGCTGCTGCTCCAACTTCCTCCACTCCGCTCCTGAGTCAACTCTTGGGACTTTGTCCCACCATGGGTGCAGCATTCAGAGGCGTGACTGTTGTCTGTGTGCATCAGGGCTTATATTGGGGTGCTTCATGACAGTGGTGTGCTTGTGCTTGTGTTTTGGAAATCCTGGATGACTTAGGGACGTTCAGTGCCTGGGTGGCAGGCTGAGCAGGTCAGGGGCAGTGTCTGTCAGCTGCACAAGAGCTAAAAGAGAGCCATAAAATCAGGGTTGTAGAAGAGGGGTCAGGTGATGGAAGTCATCTGTCACATCCTTTCTTTTTGGATGGTAAGTCTCCTAGGAACTTCAGAATATGATTCCAAGCAGAATGAAACTTCATTGATTTATGGCTGATTGGTTATTTTCAGGAATATAGCAAGAGATAACAGAAGAGAATTAACTGTCCTCAGTCTGGAAAGAAACAAAATACCTCAGTGTATCTTCAGACAATAGAATTACAACACTCTTAATGCTTCTGCCAATTCTGTGCCAATGTGACAAGTTACTGCTGAGTCTGCTGCGTGTAAGAGGATACGGATCAAAAACAATGTGTGTGGAAATAAGAATTTAAAATGTTAACACAGAAGAACCATAAACTGAATTTTCATCATTTTCGTTTGGTTTTGTTGGGGTTTTTGGGGGAAGCAGGGATTGGGTTGGGGTTTTTTTGTTTGTTTGGAGGGTTTTTGTGGGTGAACGTTTCTAGTAATTTGGACTGTTACTTTAAACTGGACTGTTTGCCCTGCCTGTCTTTATACAGATCAGATCCCATTCCCAGTTTGGTGACCTTTGCCAGAGAGCCACTGCTGCTTCGTGCTGTCCCAGCTGGACACTGGGCAACTATATTGCTATTCTGAACAACAGGTCATCGTGTCAAAAAATCGTAGAACGGGACGTCTCTCACACCCTAAAGCTGCTTCGCACATGTGCCAAATACTACTACAATGGAACCCTGGGGCCGGACTGCTGGGATATGAATGCCAAAAGGAAGGACCAACTCAAGTGTACAAACGTGCCTCGCAAATGTACCAAGTACAATGCTGTTTACCAGATCCTTCACTACCTAGTGGACAAGGATTTTCTAAGCCCAAAGACAGCTGACTATGTTTTACCAGCTTTAAAATACAGCATGCTCTTCTCCCCGACGGAGAAAGGGGAAAGCATGATGAGTATTTACCTAGATAACTTTGAGAACTGGAACGCTTCTGATGGTGTAACAACCGTCACAGGGATTGAGTTTGGAATAAAACATAGGTTGTTTCAAGATTACCTGTTGATGGATACTGTGTATCCTGCCATAGCCATTGTAATTGTTCTGTTAGTTATGTGTGTGTACACGAAGTCCATGTTTATCACGCTGATGACCATGTTTGCAATAATTAGTTCCTTGATTATTTCTTATTTTCTCTATCGGGTAGTATTTCATTTTGAGTTCTTTCCATTCATGAATCTCACAGCATTAATTATCCTTGTTGGGATTGGAGCAGATGATGCTTTTGTCTTATGTGACGTTTGGAACTACACAAAGTTTGATAAACCTCATGCTGGAACCTCTGAGACAGTGAGCATCACGCTGCAGCACGCTGCTCTTTCCATGTTTGTCACGAGTTTTACAACCGCTGCTGCCTTCTATGCTAATTACGTCAGCAATATCACAGCAATCAGGTGTTTTGGTGTTTATGCTGGCACTGCCATTTTGGTGAATTATGTTTTGATGGTCACATGGCTGCCTGCTGTAGTTGTGTTACATGAACGATACCTTCTCAATATTTTCAGTTGCTTTAAGAAACCTCAGCAGAGGGTATACAACAACAAAAACTGCTGGACAGTGTTGTGCCAAATGTTCCACAAGATTATTTTTGCAGTTTCGGAAGCATCCAGGATATTTTTTGAAAAAGTTTTGCCATGCATTGTAATCAAATTTCGATATATTTGGCTTTTCTGGTTCCTTGCCTTAACAATTGGTGGAGCATATATCGTGTGTGTGAATCCAAAGATGAAACTGCCATCGCTGGAGCTCTCTGAGTTTCAGGTATTTAGGTCTTCCCACCCATTTGAGCGATATGATGCAGAATACAAAAAGCTTTTTATGTTTGAACGTGTCCACCATGGAGAGGAGCTCCACATGCCCATTACAGTAATCTGGGGTGTGACACCTGAGGATAATGGTGACCCTTTAAACCCTAAAAGCAAAGGAAAGCTGCAGCTAGATACCAGTTTTAATATCGCTAACCCAGCCTCACAGGTTTGGATTTTACGTTTCTGTCAGAAGTTAAGAAACCAAACCTTTTTTTATCAGACTGAAGAACAAGACTTCACAAGCTGCTTCATTGAAACATTTAAGCAGTGGATGGAAAATCAAGACTGTGATGAGCCATCTCTTTACCCCTGCTGCAGCCACTGGAGCTTTCCATACAAACAAGAAGTTTTTGAATTATGTATCAAGAGAGCTATAATGGAGCTAGAAAGAAGCACAGGGTACCATTTAGACAGCAAAACCCCAGGACCTCGCTTTGACCTTAATGACACCATCAGGGCCGTGGTGTTGGAGTTCCAAAGCACCTACCTCTTTACCCTGGCTTATGAGAAAATGCATCAGTTCTACAAAGAGGTGGACTCATGGATTTCAAATGAGCTTAGTTCTGCTCCCGAAGGTCTTAGCAATGGTTGGTTTGTGAGTAACCTCGAATTTTATGATCTTCAGGACAGTCTTTCTGACGGTACTCTGATTGCCATGGGTCTTTCAGTTGCTGTTGCATTTAGCGTAATGCTTCTTACCACTTGGAATATAATCATAAGCCTCTATGCAATAGTTTCAATAGCCGGAACTATTTTTGTCACTGTAGGTTCTCTGGTTCTTCTGGGATGGGAGCTAAATGTGTTAGAATCTGTCACCATTTCGGTGGCTGTTGGCTTATCAGTGGACTTTGCTGTTCATTATGGAGTGGCTTATCGCTTAGCGCCTGACCCTGACCGAGAGGGAAAAGTAATTTTTTCTCTGAGCCGTATGGGTTCTGCTATTGCAATGGCTGCCTTGACCACATTTGTAGCCGGAGCAATGATGATGCCCTCGACAGTGCTGGCGTACACGCAGCTTGGCACTTTTATGATGCTTATAATGTGCATTAGCTGGGCTTTTGCAACATTCTTCTTCCAGTGCATGTGCCGATGCCTCGGACCCCAGGGCACTTGTGGCCAGATCCCACTACCAAAAAAATTGCGGTGTAATGCCTTCTCTCAGACCTTTTCAGGAGGCCAAGGAGGCAGAGGTCAAAATAAATCACATCCTGTTAGCAAGTATCAGCTGGACTCCAGAAGTCAAAAACCAGAAATGGAGCATGAGCACTATGAGCTTGAGCCCCTGGCGTCACAAACCGGTATCTGCAACCCTGCAGAGAAGGTGACGTACGAAGAAACTCATATCTGCTCAGAGCTCTTCAGCAGCAGGCCCCAAAACATGTGTGTGCCAATGCATCCAGCCTATAACAGTGAAGTGAGTAAAAGCATAAAAAACGTTGCTGGTTCAGCTGTGCTGCAGACTTCTATTGACCAACACACCATATGCCCAGTTTTCTCTCAAAACAGGCAGTGCAGCTGTCCTGATGCATATAAGCAAGTGGCAGCGCAGTGGAGTCCACACTCATGTCACCAGTTAAGTGACACCTTCTGTTACCAGTGTTCTCCTTCTCCGGGAACTGTACAGATCCAGAGTTCTGTAGCTCCTATAAATGCTTTACAGCAAGCTACCGAAGGTTATGTACATCCAGTCCAGCATGTCCTCCACTGCAGTTGCCTTCAAGGAAGGCTCAAAAGAACGATGACACAGAACTCTCTGCCTAAAAATTTTTTCCTCCAGTCCATGCAACAGTTTCAGGCACATCAAAGAATAAACAGGACCGATACACACGCTCATCAAAACCCGGAGGAGAACGTAAGAACTGTTCCAAAGGTGATGAGCTCCTCGCAGTTTCTCTGCCGAAACGCAGGACCTCTAATAGTGCGTTGCTCTGAATGTGAGAACAGCATCTCAAATAACCAAAAGGGATTCTGTCAGCGGACAGACAAGTGTGATGAAAAAGGTGGTACAGAAGCGAATGGGGTTGAAAGCAAGAAAGCCTCTCTGTCCAAGCAGAAAAAGAAAGCTGAGAGCAAGATAGATCAGCATTCTTTGCAGAATGAGCAGGTTTTGAAGGCCGACCAAAATGATAAAAAGCACCTGCTGAGTAGGTCAGTGAGAGAGGCTCGCCACGAGGGTTGCCGTGAAAGTTCACACTGTTGTAGCAAGGCTATCGCAGTGAAGTGCAATTCTGTTGACTGTCAAATGCCAAACATCGAAGCCAATGTGCCTCCTATGTTAATGCGCCCAGAACTTTCCAATGAAAGTTTGTTAATAAAAACACTATAATAAACCTTTAATTTGGCAATCCTGTGTCTTTCTTTTCAAAGTAAGTTTAAAACGCTAAAAAGGAAAGTCCTGAATAAATATGAATTATAATTTGCCTTTTGGAATGAAAAATGTATTTTATAGAACAGTAACATTTATACATTTCATAAAGCCATTACATGTAGTAAAACCTGATGTTGTCCAGAATGTTTTTTTGCTGTAACTCATAAGATGGATTATGTTTCATTTAGGTTTTGTCCAAGGGATTAGGGTTTGATTTCTCCTTATAAACCATCCCAAGAAATAAAGCGTTGCGAAGAAACTCCCTTTTTTTGAAGCCAGGGCTTGTGAGATTGATAACATTTGGGTCAGACTGAGATGGCCACATTTCCTGAGTACATTACTTACCTTTATTCTACTGCTACCTTGGCAGGCTTATGCACACCTTGAACCAGGGCAGGACTATAATTGTTTCATTTAGGTTTGTCTGAAAGACCAGCTCTGCAGGGCAGGTTATTTTGGAATATTTTTTATCTATTCATCCTAACAAAATCTGAAGAAAAGCTCTTGGAGGCCAACAGCATGTACACTGCCCTTGTTGCATTTCTGTGTATATAGTGCACTAAAACATTTTAAACTACCCTTTCTGGCAGTTACTGTAAAGACTTTACCATTAAATACCAGAGAATACGGGTGAAAACAATAGTAAGTGAACATTGTTTACTTCTCATTAATGACAAGAAAAATACAGTTTATGTGGGTGACAGATGTATGTATATAAAATCAGGGGTTATAAAATTGGGTATGAAGTGCCTTGCAATGCTGAACTTTTTCCCACGAAGTTAATCCGCTGTGGAGAAAGGCGTAGTCAATGCACATCTTCTGGACTTACTGTCAACAGTATCAGATTAAGTCAATCAAAAGGCTCAAATGCATAAATTCAAATACTGTGTTCTGAGTGTTCTTACCCTGAGAAGTTCCAAGATGAAGTTACAAATACTGAAGTAAATGATGTAACCAAAACGTTGGATTTCAGATGTTGTATCTGTGTAAGGGTTTAGTCAAATGATAGCTGTGAATAGTTGTGGGAATACTTGCTGGTCTCATCGTTCAGGGAGAGTGGATTTGAAAGCTGGAAATGTGTAGCATGTCATAATTGCTATGTGCCTTAATGACAAATCTCTCTTCCTATAATCATTTGGTTATGCTGGTTGTGTTGATTTATTGGACACAGAAGATAGATTTCATAGGCTGGTGTGATATCATGTACTTGGTGTGTAATGAATACCTGGGGGAAAAGCCTGGCTTTTTCTGTCCTGGAGTTCATGTTGAAGGGATACAAAAGATTCATATCTTACAACAAACCACTTTGGTTTGTCTGGGAGTAGTGATGTTGGTGCTTACATATCTCAGTGACTGCAACAGACTAAGAGGTTGAAATCTACAGCAAAAGCTAAAATAATTTTGCATGGTTTACGAAGCGTATCATTCTTTCTGAGTTAGAAAACTCAGTTTTAGCTACCTTGAAGCTCATCTCTCAATTTAAAGCCTGATTCTTTCTAAACGTTTTTAAGGGGAGCAATCCAAGGCTTTTCTGTGCACCTCAGAGGCCATTAATTATAAAGAGCTAAGACTTGCAGTGCTAGCAATCTGAAGGTGGTAAAAGGGATAAGAAATAAACTGGGCTGTTGCTGTTTTCCAATTTTTTTCCTACCCACTGCACCTGCTTGAGTGCAGTGTGAGTCTGACCTTACAAAACCAATGTGTAATGCTTGTGTAGTGCCTGTCACCTCAGCTGTCATTCACAGCAGTGCCTTTGAGACCTTAGGGGCCTTAGGGGAGGTCCCCAGTTAATGCATCTACAGAACAGAGGACTTTTTGAGCTGATGAGCTCAAAAGTGAAATTTTTTTCCTAAGCCAGTTTTCCCTCCTGTATTTTGGGTAAGGACTGCTATATAACTGGTTTTATAATGGTGAGGTAAGCAACAGGGATTAATGTTATATTTCTCTTATTATTTATATGTTCTTAAAGGCTAAAAAATGGGGCAGATAAGGTGCTGTGATGTAACATGCTCTTAGAAAAGATTATAATGAACTCATGTACTGGGCTAGTGAACAGGATCACCGCTGTATTTGCCTTTTGTGACTTTGCCATTGCTCCCCTGCCAACTGCTTTATCCTTTCCAAAATCGGTAGCTGGACAAGGAGCAGTCATGGACTTAGATAAGTTTAATACTTATGGACATGGCAGTGTGTGTGTGTGTGTGCACTGCATCTATGTCAGTTCATGTGTGGCCTCTAAAATTCTGAGCCATGGAGAGTGGAAGAGAATAGGAGTTGATTCCAATGAGAGGTAAAGGCTGATGAAGCGATGCATTGCTCTATCCCCAGAAAATTCAGGAGATAAATAAATAAATACTAATAATTAAGTTTTTACCAGCTACTAAGAGCAAGCAAGGAGAGGTGGGATTCTTTTCCACTCCATGAAATCTTAACAGGAACCATTACATCCTACTGAGACATCTCTCGAAGGCTTGCCAATGATAGCCAAGTCCCAAGGGTAGCTGATGAGCCTAAAATACTCCAATTTCCATTAACTAATTTGCTGTCACTGAAGTCCTCCCATGCATTGGGATAGCACAGGGAGTTTAGGTGTGTGCACACCACAGAGTGTGGCTCAGTGTGGTGCTTCTCTTGGAGGCTGCCCAGGTGGGCTTAAGGGCTCTACCACTGGCACTGACTGGTGCTTCCTCCATGAAGTAACACGGTCCTGGCTTTAGAAGATGCAGAGCTTTATTTCTATGGATAATCCACGCTGGGGTGTTTGAGAATTCTTCTGTCAGTGATGACATGTAGCTTGAGACATGACAGGCGAGCTTCCTAGGAAAGACTTTACAGTAACTTGCACATGTGAAGTGTCTTTAAAGTGGCATCTCTTTGATAATTCAAGGAAGGAAAGAGACTTCATGTGGGAAGCCAGTTGCCTGTTTGTGGGTCTGAAGTTGCTAGTAAGCTTTCTTAAGGAATAAAACATACAAGCCAGGATCTTTCTGGAAGTGGGGCTTATACCTGAGACCAATTCTTTAAAATTCACTTCACCCAAGGGGAAAAAAAATTATATTTAATGTATTAGATACTTTAGTTGTCTATATTTTCCTTAGGGTCTGTGTTTTTCAGGTCATAATCACATTTAGATTGTAGGTAATACATCAATTAGTTTAAAAAAAATTATACAAGAATTTACATTAAGTCCTCTAAAGTGTTACACCAGGCTCAGTAATCACTTGGAATGCAGTCACCTCATACAAAGTACTGGTAGATGGGTAGGTAGTTGATAGAGTAACATAAGGGAGTTTTAAGCTACTGTTACACTGTTTGTGTTTTTAAAGAAAATTAAAATCCATCTTTCTGCAATCACCCATAATCACTTTAATTTGATCTTTTTTAATTGATGTGGGAGAATTCCTTTGAAGTGCTTTGAATCAGGAACACCCCTCATTTTGCCAGATGGAGTCCTGGCAGTCAGTCCAAGAGGGCTCTAAAAATACAGGTTGACAAATGACGAAAGTTTTAGCACTGTAAGAAATGTCAAATGTGATAAAAACTGAATATATTTTATTTATATAAAGAATGTTATACTACTTAATATAGGTAGCAGATGGGTGATTCAGGCCAAAATCACACTGACTTCATTGAATTGGACCTTAAATTTTTTCCACATGCTGGCAAGCTATATTAAATTTTATTTCTGCCAATAACATCTGAAGTGCCTGTACATCTAGCATTTGATTTATGATAGTGAGCTGGGACACCATCCTACTAAGTGTTGCATATTCCCACAACGCGAAACAAGTCCTGCCTTAGCAATAAAAAGCTCAATCTGTAGAAGTTACAGTCTGGAAGGAAGGCAATAGCTTCTCCTCCTAACAGATCTCTGCAGACTCATGAATTTGGATCCAGTGTCACTATGGCAGAACTACCCTCACTTTTATGGTGTTATCTTTTGACTATTTATTCACTCACTTTATCAGAAAAAGGCCTCTGAGGTCTGGAGAGCCTGTAACATAGATCATGCACAGCTTAGGGAGGCTGCAGTTTTTAGGTACTACTGTGCTATAACGTCTGAATACTAAGTAGTCTCACACACCAAATGCTCTTGACTTTACTGTTTGCTTTTATTTGGCAGCCTGTATTCTGAGTGTTTTTCCTAAAGTCTCCACTTAAGAAAGTGGAGTCCACAGAGTCAGGTGTTTCCTGGAGACACATAATTTTGAGTATTTTGGTGTACCTGAAATGTATTAAAGGTAATATGTCCAGCTTGGCTTTGGATTCCATTATTTTAGGTTTTGACCAATGTCACTTTCCCTGCAAATGGATAGACATATTCAAGTGAGCAGCAGCTGGTTGTTGCTTTTATTTAAATGCTGTTAGTTAAAAATGTATGTTGAGTCTAGTTCCCAACCCATTAATTTAAAACTAATGCTGATTTGTCTTCTTAAAAGCAGCAGGGCTAACACTTACTCTCCTGCTGTGGCCTGGCCACAATAGTGGCAGTGTTAGAAGTTGAGCTCTTCCAGCAGTGAGTCTTTAGGGCAGATGGATGGCTTTGCTTTGAGGCCTAAACAAACTTTCTTAAACCCTTGTAAAGCCTTAACCAAAATTGTCTGTAGATTTATCGTGATAGCGGTTCTAGCACGTTCCTCTGTGGTTTAGGAAAGCGGCAGATTATTCGTAATTGACTCGTTAGTAACGCTGGCTATGTTACAGTGCCCCGATCCTTGGAAAACAGGGTGACTAAAATACACACAGAATAATGGCAGGCTCTTAAAAATTTGACCTAAGCCATGTCTTCTGCGTACAATAGCATTTTTAAAATATTATTCAATAATAGGAAACGTCGTGCTTTAAATTTTAAGATGGGTGATGTACTGAAACGAACTGAGTTTACAGGTACTTGAAGTAATTTTCAGGACAAATGAAGGACAGCTTGGCTGGGCATGATGGACAAAGGTGGCACCTCTGGTTGCCTGCC